TCAGCAAGGTGATGGAAATGAATTGGATTTAAGTGAGAGAGGGCTATGCAAGGGCACCAGCTTCACCTTCTCCTCCATAGCCGTCTGGGTTCAGTGGAGATGACCTCCAATGCAGGAGGAGGCCTTGGCCTTTTTGAGCTGAGGTCTTTCTGAGTTCTCATTTTCACTGAGGCAATGCCCATTCAGTGATTAAGAGTGGTTAAGAAATGAGCCAAGGAATGGCCCCTTTTAACTAAACAAACGAACAAAATAAAATCTCTGGGAGGGGAAGACCCTCAGGGTTTCTGGCCTAAACAAAAACAATTACTACTTACTTTCACTAAGTAAGCAGCCCAGAACAACAGCTAAGTGGTGCTTGGGTAGGGACCTAGTGTTGGCCAATCAACGAGGGCCAAAGTGAATTAGGTTTAAGGCATGATGTTTAAGAAAGAAATACAGCCAGTAACCCCAAGATATCTAGTTGGGTTTCAGTGATCAAAATTTACATTGCTTTGGGCAGAGCATCCTCAAGTCAGGGCATGATACTCCGTGTGGACAGGGGGAGAGGAAGGAACTGAGTTGCCCAACTGTAACTGGCCAGTTGGGTCCCCAGTGGTACAGCTTGGACTGCTCACAGATTGTTTGTCCTTCTTTCTCGAAGAGGACCTTGACATCAGGGAGGTGATGCCATGATGTGCACATGAATTGGATCTAAGTGAGGTGAGGATGTGCCAAGTCACCAGCCTCACTTTCTCCACCAGAGCCATCCGAGCCCAGTGGCAAGATGTAGATCAGGAGTGGAAATGGCCCCGAGGTACAGATTGTAAGCAATGTATGTAGCCGAAGCTAGAGTAGATATGAAAGTCTTCGTGAAGAAGGTGGTACTTAAGCTAGACTTGAAGAGAAATAAGATTAGACTATGTGGAGGGAAGACTGTTCCAGGCCAGAGGAAATTTTTATATTTTCTTTTTTCCCTAAGAATTTAAATCACTTTTATTGCTAGATCTATCATCAGGATAATCTATAACGGAAGGAATTTGGCCTTTTGGTCACCTATGGCTTTCTAAGATGGTAGACTTGATAACTTTTAAATGGGACATAGCGAAAATAAGTTTCAGAGCCCTCAATGTTAGCTAATGTGTTTCTCAATTTAAAGGAAAGTAAAGCCATAACTGTAATTAATATTTAACCAAGACTTCATTTATTTTAAAATATTTAGGTAAAATTACAAAAAGGAGAAATTGGCTAGTTAAATAACTCAGCCATGGGGTTAGCTGGGTGGAGCAGTGGATAGAGTACCACTGGAGATCTTGAGTTCAAATATGGCCTCAGACACATAACACTCACTAGCTGTGTGACTCTGGGCAAGTCACTTAACCCCAATTGCCTCACCAAAAAGAAAAAAAAAATTAAAAATAAAACTCAGCCAGGAAGAAATTTCACTATTTTTAAATGTGGCCCATAGCCACATTTAACTACAAGCCTAGGAGACTGCTGGGCCTTTGATCACCTGTTTGATTTGTTGGTAGAGCTACAAGCAGTCCCCTCAAACAGATATCCCTTTATTTTCAGAAAGCTTAATGTTATTTTTAAATTTCTGTCGAATGATTTTTTTTATTTTTCTTAAGTCACTCAGCATATATTGTAATATTATCCCATGACTTGAGGCTATGAAATTGGCTCACTTGGGTTCATTTCCTGTGGTTTATGCAACTTCTTATTTTTTTAAGTAAGTGAATATTTTAGAAATTCTAAAAAACACACCATGGCACGTATTCCAGCAGACTTCAATATTTCAAGGATATATAATTTCATCAGTGTAGGTTCCTCCCAGGAACAGATTGCAGCCCCTTCCTAACTTTGATAGCATTTATGTAGAGCTTTAAGGTTTATAAAGTTCTTTGTATATTTTATCTCATTTGATCCTCCCAACAAATCCTATGATGTTGGGTCCATTCTTATCCCATTTTACAGATGAGAAAACAGAGCTGAAAGAGATCAGATGACTTGTCCAAGGTCACACAGCTAGTAACTGACTGAGACTGGACTTGAACTCAGGTCTTCCTGACTCCCAAGTCCAACACTTTATTAGCTTTGCCACCCAGCTCCTTGGGGCTTCTTAAACTTTTTTCACTTGAGACCCCTTCATCACTTTTTAAACTGTGGATGTCAACCCCATGTGGGTTGCTGGACTCTAGATGGTCTTTCAGAGTTGCAGTGTCCAAAAATTTTATCACCCCAAGGCCAACTTGGTGATGAGCCAGGCTTCCAGACTTGAGCTAAATTGATTCTTAAACCACAGACACACATTCTTCCACTGGGTGCTTATTTAAAGCCATTCCATCTTAGAGGGCAGCTAGGTGGTACAGGGGATAGAGGGCCAGACCTGCAGGCAGAAAGACTTCTCTTCCCAAGTTCAAATCCGGCCTCAGACACTTACTAGCTATGTGAGCCTGGGCAAGTCACTTAACTCTGTTTACCTCAGTTTCTTCATCTGTGAAATGAGCTGAAGAAGGAAATGGCAAACCATTCCAGTATCTTTGCCAAGAAAACCCCAAAGGGGTCACAAAGAGTCAGACACAACTCAACTTTAAGATACTGTTTGGAGTCATGAAGAGTTGGGCATGACTGAACAAGAAGTCTAGAATGGACTTTAGGCTGGAAAAATACTTATTTCTTAATATTTTCATTTGAACTAAAAAGGTTTTAATATGCTTCCACAAGCCTTTCCAATATCTTTGCCAAGAAAACCCCAAATGGGGTCACAAAGGGTCACATCTGAAATGACTGAACAACACCATCTTGGTTAGACTGGCTAAAGCCTGTGCTCCACTGGACCGGCCCTCCAAGGGTCACCTCCACACTACCATGAGTCACCACAGTAGTACTCAGCAGACAACCATACTCTCTATCCAATACAGTAAGGCCAGTTTGACCCCCAAATAAGAGAGGTCATGTAGACTGTTCTTAGATCTTAGACTTCCGAAAGATTGTAGAACGTGATGCCTTTAAGTAGTGACCTGGGCGGTATTCAAATTAATGATGCTGAAGGGGCCATCTGTTAGGGTTGTAGAGGGGATTACATCCTGAATGAGATTAAGGCCTCTGAGCTCCCTTCAGCTTCTTCTGAAGCTATAACTTCCTCCAGCTTTAGGATGGCACAGGCTGGTCAATTTAAAGCTAGAATTCAGAAGCCTTCTAGTACAACCCCCTCATCTCACAGAAGAGACGGGCCCTTAGGGGTGGCTGACATGCCAAAGGTCACAGGATGGCAGAGCTTGGCTTGGAACCCAGGTCATCTGACCTTGAACCCAGCAAGCTTCCTTTCCACGGAATTCGGCTGCTGTGGTTCCACATTAGTAACTTCTCTCTGCTTGAAATTTTAACTACATTAACCACCATTTTACACACATACACACACACACACACACACTTAGACCTTCCCTTCCACCTTTTTTTTTCTTCCAAAGGTAGGGGACCATAGGTGTGAGTGCTGCATGCAGTGTCAAACTTCTTTGGTGTGTTGGTTAGTTTCACTTAACTTCCCCCACCCCCTTTTTTTATTTGTGAAAAAAGACAGTTCTCTGGGAGGGAAAGGAAGAAAGAGAGAAGGGATACATTGGGAAATGTAGATGATGTGAAAACAAAAGCTATAAATAAATTGTATTTAAAATATTTTAAAAGGCTATTAGATCTCTCCTCCGCAAGTTCTGCTTCCATTTCATACCTGTCAAGCTAGACTGTACCAGATAAGAAAGCCTATAATTTCCTTTCCCCCCAATGATACATATGCCTGTCTCCAAACACCCATCCCACAAAGACACACCATGGTGTGGGCTGATGCCAGAGAGTTGAAGGCATTTTGTCTTAGATAGGAGTTTGGACTTGGTGATTTTGGGGGGGAAGTGGTTAGAACTGTATGCTATGAGTTTGGTGGGGCAAAGAAAAAGCAGCATTAGAGGCCAAAGAAAAAGAACCTACCGGGTTGTGTAAAGATAGCTCTCAGCACATTCTCTTCTGAGTCTGTCTTAAAGGAGACCTTTAGTCATTGTCTTGGAGGCCTCGCCCCTGCAAAAATGGTTTGGTGTGATTAATTACAGAGAAACATCTCTACCAGATAAGCTGGACTTGGGCAACAAGATTAACATTCTCCTAAGCTTAAGACATTCTCCCCGCCCCCCAACCCCTACCCCCCCCAAAAAAAATCACCTGACATGTGGTGTCCCTATTACTCTAACTCCCAAATCAGGAGAGTGGCAGAGGAGCCTTACCTGATAGGTTCCTTTAGCCACCTCCCCTAGAGCTCTGTAAAAACCCTACATACATATATACATCTCTCTGTTCTGTGGAGTTGCTAGTCACCTGACCAGCAGCCGATACTAAATAGACCTCTTCTCTTCTAGTTGGGTCTCTTGATTTACTGATCTCCAGGTGGGAGGAATTAATCTCTAGGAGTATCTTAGACTCTCTGGGTTGAGGAATTCCACTACAGTTTGTAGGTCCTTTCCCTCCCTAAATCTCAAGTGAGGTTCATTATTCGACAAGGTTTCCCCCAGAAAAGAGATAGAGAGTGAGAAAGGATATGCTTTGTCCTGTTTAAATTCCCTCCTTGTTTGTACCTACTGAGCTCATAATATACGAGATTTTCTGGGCCTCTCAGCTCTTCACTCCTATGAGATTTTTAGAAAGCTGCATGATTGTTTATGCAGATAAGGGGAGGCCTTCTGGTAAGATTTTTCCAGGACCCAGCCACCCACCCCTGGGTGTGTGCACGCGAGTGTGTGTGTGTGTGTGTGTGTGTGTGTGTGTGTGTGTGTGTGCGCCTTCTCCAGGATCTTAGAGTCTGTTTTTTCTTGCCCATTGTATTCTGCTTGGAGACCTTGTACAGATTAATTAACTTGACAGAAAGGCACTCACCAAAGCATCTGGGAGTGGACTTTGCCTGGGAGTTTTGTCATTAATGATAACTCTCTGAAGGAGGAGAGGACCTAAGCTGTGTGTTTCCTGACTTCTTCCAACAGTACAATGGCCCTCCCCAAGAAGAAGCTTCAAGGGCTCGTTGCTGCAACTGTCACACCTATGACTGAGACTGGGTAAATATTACTTTGAGACATAAAGGGTTGTCTTTATAGCCTGATGGGGATATCAGTCAGTCAATACTTATTGAGCGCCTACTGTGTGCCAGGTATTGTACTACGAGATGGCGATATAAAAAGAGGCAAAAGCAAGTCCCTGCCTTCAAGCGGCTCACAGTCTAATGGGGGAGGGAGGGCAGAGGGGAGAAGGGGGCAAGCAACTATGAACAAACAATTTATATGTAGGAGAAATGGGAAATAATTACCAGAGGGGAAGGCTGTAGGATTAAGAGGGATTGAGAAGGGCTTCCTGTAGAAAGTAGGATTTTAGCTGAGACTTGGAAGAAGCCAGAAGGCAGAGATGAGGAGAGAGAGCATTCCAGGCAAGGGGGGCAGCCAGAGAAAAAGCCAGGAGTCAAAAGATGGAGTGTCTCGTTTGTGGATCAGCCAGGAGGCCAGTGTCCCTGGGATGAAGAGTACCTGGCCCCGGGGGGCTAGGCAGTGAAGGGCTTTGATGGCAAACAAAGGATTTTGTGTTTGATCCCGAAGGCAACAGGGAGCCACTGGAGTTTGAGTTGGAGGGATGGCATGGTCAGACCTGTGTTTTAGGAAGACCATTTTAGTGGCTGAATGGAGGTTGGATTGGAGTGGGGAGAGACTTGAGGCAGGCAGACCCCTCCCCACCAGCAGGCAATTGCAGTAATCAAGGGGTGAGGTGATGGGGGCCTGAACTAGGAGAGAAAGGGCGAATTGGAGAGGTATTGCAAAGATGAAATCAACAGGACTTGAAAACAGATTAGATGTAGATGATGAGAGATCACTAATCTAGACCAGAAAATATAATATCCCATCCTAGACTCTCCTACCCAGCCCCTGGCCCAAGACCAACTTTATGGAAGTCTTATGTCAAAGCTTGACCTACAGGAATATATACATGTTCTTCCTCATGTCTTGCATCGTAGAGTCAGGCTGACCACAAATCCAGCATCCTTAGATCCTTATGCAGTTGAAGACAACGACAGAGAAGTTTATATAGCATTTTAATGTTTGTAAAGTACTTTATCTATTATTTGAAATCTGTCTCCTCCATTTTAACAGATGAAGAAAGTGAGGCTCAGAGAGGTTAGGTGATTTGCCCCTAGAAAGAAGGAAAGATAACAAGCATTTATTAAGTGCCAGACACTTTGCTAAGTATCTAACAAATATTTCATTTGCTAATGGTCACGCAGCTGATAAATATCAAAGACAGGAGTTAGGAATTGGTGTATCCATTCCAGATACCAATAGAGACCGAATTTAAGCCCAGGTCATTCTGACTCCCAAGGTCAGTAGACCAAATAATGTTCTTTCTCTGAGAGAGGAAGGGAATGGCGAGTAAGGGAGCCAGAGGGATGAGTTAGATGAGCCCCTTTAGTTGTGACTGCATGGTACAATTAAAATCAATTTATTATGTTTGTCATCAATTAATAATAATATTTGTTCAATTAAACTCCTTTTGTGGGCAATAACAAAGCTAACAGCTGAGTAATCACCATACCAGCTGTTAATTCCTCATAATATTAGCAGAATTATCCAACATTGTATATATGGATTGACATTTTGGAATGTACTAGTGGTTTACTGTTGATCAGTCAATGAGGCTGTCATGCGATTCATTTGACCAAAGCCAGTATAGACATATTAATATATGTGTTTTTCTGATAAATGTTTAACAACTGGCTGTCAAAAAAACATACCGAGGGCTCACTTCAAATTTAATCTGCATGATTAACATCTAATTCATCACTTTCTTTGGTCTGCAATCAATAAAACAATCATTCGAGCCCTGATTTGTAGTGATTGCCAGTTTCAGAGGTATGTATGCTCACACTCTAAATGTAATAGTTGGCTCCCAAGATGGCTCTACCACACCCCTGTGTATCCCCCAGTAAAATGTAAACCCATTTCTTTAAGTCAGGGACTATTACATTTTTTTTCTATGTATCCCCCAGCTTTGTTTTGGGCTTTGTATCCTCAGCACCTATTCCAGTGACTTGCACTAATTAAAGTTATGCTTAATAAGTGCTAGTGAATTGAGTTAGATTGCATAAAAACAGAAGCCTCCTAGTAACATCTGAGAGCAGTGTAGTATCATGGAATGATAGATGGGGAGTCAGGAGACCTAAGTTCTAAGTTTAGCTTAGCTCTCCAGTTTAACAGTGCCAGTGATCTTGAGCAGGTTCCTAACTCTCTTAGTTTTTTTCCCTGTTTCTCAAATAAAGGGGTAGGACTAGATAATTTCTGAAATCCCTCCCAGCTCTGGTTTTCTATGTTTTACTGTTCTATTTAGAAATTAGTCCTATCAAGCCAGTTCTCAGTTTTATCTGTGTAGCTCAGATCTTACTCAAGGGCCTTGAGGGACATACTTCCAAGGCTCACTGGAATCACAGAATGATAGTGGAAGGGACCTTTGGGGCCATCCATTCTAGCTACCTTCTAAAAGTTGCCCCTAAAGGCAATGTGACGTGCCTCAGTTCAACTATCTAGGACACTAAAAAGTGAACATGCTATTGGACAGGCACAAAATGAAAACAAAATTCTTGCTGAGGATATGGCATTTCTCTGTCTACAGCTGGTTAATACAAAACTTGTCTGCTTCTCCACCCTTCCCATGAGTTATATGGATAAAGCCTGAAATTATCTATTTCTAAATGTGTTTAGGCCTTTGTTGGGCAGATAAGATAGAAAACATGTGACTGAAAGAATTTACAGTTTTTACATCCTATTATGGGAGATTCTTTTCCAAGCTGAAGAGCCACATCTGGTGGATGTTACTTTAACCTTTTTAAATTGGCCTCCTTTTAGCTTGGAAATAGCTTTTAAAAAATTCTTATTTTATTTATCTTGCAACCTATTGAGAATATTGGTGTGCTCTTCCACCTCATATGTCCAACAAAATGTTATTATTATTAAGCCTTAATCACTGAATGGGCTTTGCCTCAAACTGAGATCTGTTGAAGACTTGAGCTTGAAAAGGCCAAGGTCCGCCAATGCATCCTGGGCCATTTGTCCTGATCTGTATCTGGCCACTGGACTCAAATGGCTCCAGAAGAGAAAGTGAGGCTGGTGACTTTGCACAACCCTCCCTCACTTAAATCCAATTCACTTTGTAAGTATGGCATTGCCTTCCTGATATCATGGTCCTATTGGAGAATGAAGGACAAATAGCAGCAACCAGCAAAACACCCTGAAAGTAACTATTTTTCTCCCATGAGTCCATTTCCTTTTGTCCAATACCCAGGGCTCAGCTCTGCCCTCAGTAGGCTACTCTTTCTCCCTTCCTTTTTACCATTGCTTCATCCTGTTTCCCTCTACTTCTGGACTCAGAGTTCTTAACCTAGAGTTTGTGAATTTAAAAAAAAATGTTGATAACTGTATTATAGTATAATTATTTTCCTTCATGAAGTATGTATTTGATTTTACATTATTTTAAAATATGAGTCTGAGCAGGAGTCTATAGACTTTAGCAGATACTGCCAAAGGGATCCATGAAACAGTTAAGGTGAAGCACCCCTACTCTAACCAGACATGCTTAGTAAAGAAACAAGCAGGTCTGGGCTACCTCAGAAAGCAACCAGGTATTTGTCCACTGCCCAGCCAAAGGAACTGACCTTTTTATACTCTGTGTACCATGAGCTGGTTTTCAGTGTCTATTGGAAGGGAACAAAATTCCCTTCTTTTAAATAATTACCTCAAGGAGCTCACACCTCTACAAGACATATAAAGAAACATGTTCAGTTGTTAGATCGCAAAGTCGATTATTGTGACCTCATGGGAAGAACACTGGACCAGGGTTCAGCAAACCCAAGTTCAAATCCTAGCTCTAACATTTACTAGTTGTGTGACTTTGGACAAGTCACTTAATTTCCCTGAGCCTCAGTTTTCTCACCTGAAAATGAGGGCATTAGAATAGAATTAGAAGGGCCCTTCCAGCTCTGGCATGCCATCATTCTCTGGCTAGTAGCCAGATTCCCAGAAGTATGTTTAGTCCTTATTAACTGGTCAAGAAAATGTACCTTTGCACCTCTTTATTCAAGAAAAAGTGGAAACTATCAGCTTTCCTAGAATGGGTCTGTATTAGTGGAAAGTCTCCTGCATTTGGAGAGAAAAGGCCCTAGGTTCCAGTCTTAGTTCAACCTCTTAATACCTGAGTGATTCTTAATCTCTCTGGGTCTCAGTTTCCTCATTTGTCAAATGAGGGAGGTTCACACTACATACCATGATAAGCTCCAGTGGATATAGAATTAAAATGTATAAGGTTACAACATAAACATATTCGAGGAATAAAGGAAGATAATGCTGTTAGCAGCTGTCAATGGGGAGAAGATCACAGAAGACAAAATGGACAAATTTAATTACATAAAATTCAGAGATTAGTGAAGAGGCAAATATCTACCTCCTAATAGGTGATGGACTTGAGATGCAGAAGAAGATACATTTTCAGACACAGCCATTGTAGGGATTTGTTTCACTTAGCTATGAAAGGAGATAGACAGAGGGAAGGAGTGGAAGGAAGAAAGGAAGAAAAATCATGGAAGCATTTTTTAATGAACAAAAGGGAACAGAAGGAAGGATAGGTAGAATAAAAAACAAGTTGCCAATTTGGAAGTTACTTCTTGAATTTATTATATTTCTTGAAAGAAGAGCAAGCTGTACATAACAGATCTGCAGTTTCACATACAATCTTTTTTGTTCTACTATGTTTGTGGAAATATTTGTTTTATTTGGGATTTGTTCAATTCAGAATAAAAACTTTTTTTAAAAAATTGAATGAAGGAAGCTAGAGTATGTCCCCTCCGACTCTAAATACCCAGTCCTGTGATCAGCTGTTTGCCTGGAAAAGTGCTGGTTTGTAATGCTGAAGGCTCTCAGTGAGGGAATAGTCTGAACTAATCATAGCTGTGCCTTTCCCTCAGTGGGCTGGATGTTAACGGCCGCCTGAAAGCCTCCTCTCCTTCCCCACTTCCCTCCCCTCCTTG